TACAGGTTTTTCTTCTAAGATTGCCCTGTATTTGGGCTCCATCCATCCTCCCATCAACTCTGACCAGTTTCCCTGTCCCTGCTAAAGAAAAGAGGCATCCCCATAACATGATGCTACCACCACCATGTTTCACAGTGGGGATGGTGTGTTCAGGGTGATGTGCAGTGTTAGCTTTCTACCACACATAGCGTTTTGCTTTTAGGTAAAACAGTTCAATTCTGGTCTCATCTTACCAGAGCACCTTCTTTCACACTGTTTGCCATGTCCCCCAAATGGCTTCTCACAAACTGAAAATGGGACTTCTTATGGCTTTCTTTCAACAATTTCTTCTTGCCACTCTTCCATAAAGGTCAGATTTGTGGAGTGCAAGACTAATAGTTGTCCTGTGGACAGATTCTCCACCTGAGTTGTGGATCTCTGCAGCTCCTCCAGAGTTACCATCTTGGCCTCTTGGCTGCTTCTCTGATTAATACTCCTCCTTGCCCTGGCTGTCAGTTTAGGTGGACCGCCATGTCTTGGTAGGTTTGCAGTTGTGCCATACTCTTTCCATTTTCGGATGATGGATTTGAAACAGTGCTCCATGAGATGTTCAAAGCTTGAGATATTTTTTTCATAACCTAACCCTGCTTTAAACTTCTCCACAACTTTATTCCTGATCTGTCTGGTGTGTTCCTTGGCCTTCATGATGCTGTTTGTTCACTAATGTTCTCTAACAAACCTCCCGAGGGCTTCACAAAACAGCTGTATTTTACACTGAGATTAAATTACACACAGGTGGACGCTATTTACTAATTAGGTGACTTCTGGAGGCAATTTGTTCCACTAGATTTTAGTTAGGGGTATCAGAGTAAAGGGGGCTGAATACAAATGCACGCCACACTTTTCAGTTATTTATTTGTAAAACATTTTGAAAAACCATTTATCATTTTCCTTCCACATCACAATTATGTGCCACTTTGTGTTGGTCAATCACATAAAATCCCAATAAAATAAATTTACGTTTTTGGTTGTAACATGACAAAATGTGGAAAAAATTTCAAGGGGTATGAATACTTTTTCAAGCACTGTACCTAGAGTACAAAAGCAGACAAGGGCGCACTCTCAATCATGCATTACCGTGGTACACCACATATTTATTGTGTAAAAAAATGATGAAATATACTCACAAACCAATGGAAATAAATTTATTTCCATTGGTTTGTGAGTTGTTGTAAAAAACACACTCTTCGTTTGGTATCCTGAAATTTCTCTTTTAGTCTGCATGAGGATTTGAGCGCTGGTTTCGTTTGTTTGTCGTTGGATTGCAACTGTACCTAGAGTATTTAACACATTTTTAACACTAAAACTATTTAAACGAAAAAAAAAATATAATATAATCTCAAAATATTTTTTTATTATTTTTTGGTAATAAAAATAGTTTTTTTATTATCAAAAAATAAATAAAAAAGTAAGAATTATGGCTAGAAAAGAAACAAAACAAATTCCTGTACATCTGTTGTTAATGTAGAAGTGCCTTTTGGTCAATGGGAAGAATGCCACTCTTACAGACAGCTAAAAAATGAATCTGTGGCATACCACTGACTCTGCCAAGTGATGTTGGCCTCTGAACTATGGAGGCCCCAGCAGGCGGAAGGTTTACTAGCTATCCGATGTTAGTACAGTGAGTACAACCAGTAAGTGTTTCGCAGCCATTGGCTGCCAACACTGATTGGATGACTATTGGATACTGCTTTTCCAGCATCCCTGTTTGACAGAAGCCAAACATTAGGCCAGCCTCTGTCGGACAGGCAGGTGTAAACACGGGCCAAATGTCAGCCGGTTTTCTATTGAACTGGCCAATATTTGGCCTGTGTGTACGGGCCTTAGTCTGCCACTGCTCAAGAAACCCCTAGCAATCTCTGGAGAAACACAAGGGTTGAATGGCTGCACCAGGGTTTTCAATCTTAAAGTTTTTATCCCGCCCAGTTTTTCATAAAGTAGGGAAGGGTTAGAACCCCTGTAATGTTTGTAATACTATCCAGGGCTCCAATACTGGAACTTTAATTCACTCCTTATAGTGCTGATAATTTTATTTACCAGACAGCAAGCAAGTGGAACTCTCCAACAGCAATACAGACATAAATAAAAAATGTTTTCTTTAGTAGAATAGGCTGGAAAGCTGGAATCCCTGTCATAGATTTCTTTCTTTCTGTGAAGTTCAGTGAGGCATTGATGGTGGGAACAGAAGCAGGTAGCTTAGAGAAGAATCAAAATGTTGCAGAGTGTTTTCAACCTTATCATAATGGAAACCAAGGGTACTAAGGGCATACAAAAAATGTAAAACAGGATTTGGAGGTCTGCCAGCACCAGCAAGGGGACTTGGAATGGTTTCAGATTACGTTCTGGGTGGTATCTCTTTAACTGACCCACTGCAAACTGAACCAGTCACAAGCTCCCTACCTGATGGGGCAGGACAACATACATGGAGAGACCACACTGTACAATGCCCTAGGCACCAGCCCACCTGCTGCCTGCAAATGTACACCTCAAAGACGGTCCTTTTAGGACAGTGAGGAAGAGGTTTCCAGTAAAGAGCTAGTCACAGATTAAGGGCTCCTTCACACTTGACTAATTTCTAACTCTTGCCAAACGCCCCTATAGCATTTGACAGGCGTTAGACAGGCATTTGGGAAGCGTTTTTAACACTGCTCAAATGCTCCCCAAATTCTCTATGCATTTTTGAGGCATTTGATAGACCTTTGTAAGCGTTAAAACTGCATCACAAAAGCCTATAATGACGTTTAATGGTATTAACGCTCTGCAAATGCCTTGCAAACACCTTGCAAACGCCTGCCAGGCGTTGGAGGAGCATCACCATAGACTTGAATGGGAGGCTTCAACTCCTCCTGACTGGACATGAGGCGTCAATTTTGCTGCTAACGCTTCAGTGTGAACAGCACCCTGTTCTGCCATGTGTAGAATTTTCATAGGGGTTTGAGGAGTGACAAAGCTAGTGTGAACTTAGCCTAAAGATGGCTGCAGAAATGGTGATAATGGCAGTAGAAAGTGAAAGTAATGTTGAAACAAATACCCCAAGGTAGGGATTCTCAATAGATTCTCTGTGCCAGGCATTTATAGCATAATAGATTATCTGCACCTTGCTATGTTTGAATATTCTCTGCTTAGCAGTTAGGTTTAACCTGCGCTGTCTAGCATGGTGCTGAGATCTTTGTGCATGCAATGTATAGTATCCATTTTGTTTGGCTGTATACCGACTTTGTCATGTTGAAAATGAAACAATATATGTGGATTTACTCATAGCGTTTTAGTGTGCTGACTTGTTCATTATATATACTGGTAATGATTCGGGGCTTTGCGAGGAAACCCTGATATGGGAGTTACAGCACTCATTCTCTTACTTTCTAGTACTCTCTTATCAGAGCTAGAGAGAGGTGTCCCACATCCTCAGATCACTAAGCTAAACTTAGTATGAGCTGGGGTATTGTCATTAGATGTGGCTGAACCTGTGATGTACAACCTCCTAGAGTCGGAAACTATACCCAGGTTTTGAGAACTGGTTTCCCAGTGAACTCTGGGAGTAATTATATCTTACATAGTATGTTAGAAAGTGATTGTTGGATTGATAACTTCTGCCATTGTACCTACCAATGCTTATACTTTGATCATCCAGATTATAACTGAATATATATACATTGATATCCCACTAGATATTAGAGGTGGATGGTACAGATGGTTTTCAGTAGTGAAGTAGTGTAATTTTTCATTAGTTCTTTACAACACTGTATAATATCTTGTTAACTGTATGCACCAATGCGTGTCTGAAAGCACCAGAAATAGGTCATTACATACATAGCATTGATATGTATTTTGCAGTATTTGAAAATGTAGCAAAGCACATGAACAAGGTAACATACTTTTTTTTTCAATAAGATCTGTTTAGGCCATTATGTTTGGTTGTAGCTATTAAAAGTCCTATGCTGTATTTTGTAGTGTTAATCTGTATTTTGCTACTTAAGTTATTTGAATGGAATCTCTAACACAACACTACACATATCAACATGCAGCAACACAGCGAACATTAACAAGCGCATGTTGCATTTTCAAATGCAGCAAAATACATGGACCAGACAAATTAGAAGGCCTGTGAAAGTATATTTTTTTTACATCTGAAAGGTGACATCTAGTGGTATACATAAGAGCTGCAGTAAACATGTATGCTCTGACCAAATACACTATATTGCTAAAAGTATTGGTCGGCCTGCCTTTACACACACATGAACTTTAATGACATCCCAGTCTTAGTCCATAGGGTTCAATATTGAGTTGGCCCACCCTTTGCAGCTATGACAGTTTCAACTCTTCTGGGAAGGCTGTCCACAAGGTTTAAGAGTGTCTATGGAAATGTTTGACCATTCTTCCAGAAGAGCATTTGTGAGGTCAGGCACTGATGTCGGACAAGAAGGCCTGGCTCACAGTCTCCGCTCTAATTCATCCCAAAGGTGTTCTATCACGTTGAGGTCAGGACTCTGTGCAGGCCAGTCCAGTTCCTCCACCCCAAACTCGCTCATCCATATCTTTATGGACCTTGCCTTGTGCACTGCTGCGCAGTCATGTTGATACAGGAAGGGGCCATCCCCAAACTGTTCCCACAAAGTTGGGAGCATGAAATCGTCCAAAATGTCTTGGTATGCTGATGCCTTAAGAGTTCCCTTCACTGGGACTAAGAGGCCAAGCCCAACCCCTGAAAAAAACAACCCCACACCATAATCCCCCCTTCACCAAATTTTACACGTAGCACAATGCAGTCAGGCAAGTACCATTCTCCTACCAAACCACCAAACACAGAGCCATCTATCGGATTGCCAGACAGAGAAGTGTGATTCATCACTCCAGTGAACACGTCTTCATTCCTCTAGAGTTCAGTGGCGGCGTGCTTTACACCAGTGCATCCGCCGTTTTCATTGCACTTGGTCATGTAAGGCTTGGATGCAGCTGCTCGACCATGGAAACCCATTCCATGAAGCTCTCTACAAATTGTTATTGTGCTAATCTGAAGGCCACATGAAGTTTTGAGGGCTTTAGCTATTGACTCTGCAGACAGTTGGTGACTATTGCAAACTGCGCTTCAGCATGCGCTGACCCTGCTGTCATTTTACGTGGCCTACCACTTCGTGGCTGAGTTGCTGTTGTTCCCAGTTGCTTCCACTTTGTTATAATACCACTAACAGTTGACTGTGGAATATTTAGTAGCAAGGAAATGTCAAGGGTGGACTTATTGCACAGGTGGCAACCTATCACAGTACCACGCTTGAATTCACTGAACTCTTGAGAGCGACCCATTCTCTCAGAAATATTTGTAGAAGCAGTCTGCATGCCTTGCTTTTATACACCTGTGACCATGGAGGTGATTGGAACACCTGAATCCAATGATTTGGAGGGGTGTCCCAATGCTTTTGGCAATATAGTGGATGCTGAAGTATATAAGAAACAAATGGCAGGGGGTATCTGAAAAGGTTACGCAAAGTTAAGTAATTTTCTCTCATCCAATTTTGCTTAAATTGCAGTTCACCACGTTTGTTTCCGGTGGTAATTTTAAAAAAGAAAGGATAAGCCTTTATAGTTAAAGTAGATTTGACCTCAAAAAGTGAAGATTTGCTATCTCATCTAGAAATGTTATTTGCGCCTAAGTAGTAAGCTGTAGAGGACGCAGGATTCTATTTTCCTACATACAGGTATAGGGAGGTTGGAAACTATAAAAAGCAGAAAGGACACATCCCCATCTAGTGGCTATACCTCTTCATGTGCAGCACAAGCTCAGTAGAGCAAGTAGTGAGCAAACCATGGAAATGAGTAAACTTCCAGCAAAAAGATTATTAAATGTGGCAACAGACCAACAATGCAAGAAGACAACCACATAAGGGGAAGGATTTGTGTCCCTCCTTGAACCGCTGGAGAAAAGGATTTTATAGTGAGTAAAAAAAAATCTTATTTTCTCTCAGCATTCCCCAAGGGACACAGATCTCCAATCTTCTATGTATGGAATATTCATAAGAGTAGACTCTAACTGCTATACCACATCCCGTGTTTGAAAGACAATCTCCTTTGGATGAGATAGTGACAGACAGAAAGATGGAAGCATGTTCTTATTGAAGTGAAAAGAGGACACAATGATCCAAAGAAGGTTCACACAACAAGCCAACTGCAGAGGTGCTCGCCTCCAGAAACAGCAACAATTAAAGAGAATGGCTGCACACTGCACTGGGACGTGATAATTTATTAAATATTCTTCACAAACAAAAGAAAAAGTTTCATAGCACACAGTATAAAAAGGAGATCATCTAACGCATTTCATAGCACATATTCATAACAAACATGAATAAGTGCTATGGAGCATGAAACACGTTAACATCTCTCTTTTTTGTACACTTACCCTGTTAGCTATGAATGTTTATATTTGTTTGTGAAGAATATTTAATAAATTATCACGTCCTAGCAGAGTGCAACCATTCTCTTTAAAGAGGACACAATCATGTGTAAAGAAACCTGAAGATCAAGGCATCAGAAATGACTTTATCCATATGTAGAATAAGGAAAGGAACATTGCAAGACAAGGTCATCAACTCAGAGACCTTTCTAGCTCAAGTGAAGAGCAGGAAGGCCAACTTTTGAGACAAAGCTAAGGCGGTAAGTAGAAAGCTTTTCAAGGCACTAAAAATACCATGTTATGATCCCATTGAGCTGGGTGGTTCTTCACAGGGGTAGAAATATAAGAGACAGCCTGAATAAAGATATTAACCACAGAAGGCAAGGGTCACTGGTCTTCCTTAATTCTTAATAATTCCAAAATGAAAGCTGCCAGCTGTTCACACTGCTCTCTTTTCCTGTCCACCACCCAATACAAAGGTCTGAAAGGTATGTTGTAGGTTAGCTTGGGTGTTTTAATACCAGTTTATTCTGGGTACATTTTTATTTCCAAATGATAAGGTTTCACAATCTAGAAACTAGCATGTCATTAGCAGAATAAATTTATGATTTGTTAGATAACAAACATGACAAGTCAATTATATGTATTTTTACTAGTTCTAAAGTGTTTTATTATCATTCTAGACATTGTAATATAGTTGGGTTTGCTGTTTAACTTTGTTGTAATTTTTTCTTGTACATTCATGTAACCACCTTTTAGGAAGGTATCTCTATTACAGTAGGAATTATGGGAAATGTATGAAGTTTGACAGTGGAAGTTCAGTTATAGGTCAAAAACCCCACATTATAGATGTGTATTCCTAAACTGCACACTGATGTAGTCATTTACGGCAGGGCCTCATCAGAAGTCCTTTGAAGACTGGGATGGTTAAGGTTTAGTTTATGGTGCTTTTGCATGCCTTTTAAGTAGCTGTTTTTTTCAAATGTATTGATTCCATGAATGCTTAAACACAGTCAGGAGATCTTATTCTGATTGTCTTGTTCCAACCTCTGAAATGTAGAAAAATTAGGGTGGTCTGGTGTTCACTGTTATGTCTCCATTCTCTCCACACTGTTTGAATTTCATCAGATCTCACCACAAGAACTTACAAACCTAAAGGATGGTAGAGAATTCCACCTTAGAGAGACCTCATGTTCTCAGCACCTAAATCAGAAGTAGCCAAGAACTATTCTGGTGATGACCCTGGTAACCTTGTGTTTGTGACATAACTTTATCAGATCCATGTTCAATGTTCCTCACTATTGGAAGAGCTGATTACTCTTCTGGATCAAGATACTGTTGACTTAGGGAGTCCAACTGCAAGTTCACTCCACAGACCAGGGGCGGGCTGACCATTTGAGCACTCGGGCACTGCGCGAGGGCTCGGTCTCAGTAGGGGGCCCCATGAGATGCCCCTGGCTACCTTTCATTGATTTTTTCATAGGCTTTTTTTGGGTTTGGGCAAGGACACAGGGGCCCCATGATCCCCTATTGCCCGGGGGCCCCATGAGTTGTCAGTCCGCCCCTGCCACAGACTACAGATAGGGTGGAATCTGATCCTCCCCCCTCAGCAAAGCTGATTTTGGCAGTAAAAAAAATCAGAGAAGTGTCACAATTAAATCTGATCGCATGCACAATCTGTTCCATTTTTTTCTGTGCTCTGGTGTAAAGTGATATTAAACTCTCATTTTTTTTTTAAAGCACTCTCAGCAGCTGATTTAAGCACTTACTGAGTATGCAGCTTCTTTATCTTTTAATCCTTGCCTAAATTCCAGCTTAATCTGGTGCCATGTTCACTGTTCTGGATTTCCTGTTTCCTCCTCTCTGCATTCTCTAAACTAGCCTACTGGAGACTGCACTGTCCACTGTTAAAGCAGAACTTCACCGCTGCATTTGGTTCCCTCTCTGTTCCTCTGGGACAGACCAGCAGCACATCTGCACGTGTGCTGGTTTCTGTGCACATACACAAAATCGCAGCCATTTCTAATGTATGGGCAACCTAGTTTCCAGTGGCACTTGTGTGCATGCGCTGAAAACTTGGTGTGTGTGGAAGATACACAGCACACTGCCTCCTGGGATAGCTGTGACAATCTCAGGAGGCAGTAGGACCTTTCCTAAACCAGGAAGCTCTGTCTTGCAGCACAAAAATAAGACCTAAAGGTACAAATTATAAAACATTTCTTTTTACATTTTTGTGAGGGAAGGGGGTGACCAAAAATAAATAATGTTGCTATAGGGACATAGGTTCTGCTTTTTCCTGTCACGACAGAAAGTTCAGGTAAGCAGCACTGAGAGAGCAGGAGCCAGCAGCATTGAAAAATGTAAACTTTAAATGCTGGGGTTAGAATTTTATTAGGAATGTTTATTTTTGTGTGCTCAAGGTGTTAACCTTCAAAACATAGATGGTTTAATACTACTTTAAGCCTGCGTTGATCTATGCAGATGAACACCGCTCAACTATTGTCATGTGAACAAGCTGTTATGCAGTCACCACATCTAAGGACTGGTAAGCTGATAAACTGCAAAATACACATTTTTTTTTTCAAATTCCTTCTTTAGATAAAGTATCCAACACAATGTTGCAACATCAATCAGTGGTAATTTTGTGCAGAGAACAAAATGTTACACAATAAAAAACAGGTAGAATAAGCACATAAAGTCCAGAAATGCATAAAAAAAAAAGGCATGCCAAGTATCGGATGCTGGGAAAGACATAGTCAATATGCACATTTTTACTACAGTGAGGAAGGGTTTGAACTTTATATAATGTTTGCTACCTGTGCCTACCTAATACTGTGACAACAACACCTCAATTTCTTGTCCTGGTGTCACAGCAACATGAAATTAGGGAACATATTATAGCGGAGTTCCAGTCACATTGTAAAAAAATAAAAGTCAGCAGCTACAAAAACTGTAGCTGCTGACTCTTAAAAAACAGTCACTCAGCTGTCCCTCGATCCCGCGGTGTCCTCCCGCCAGCCAGCCGGTGATCCCAGCGCTGGCATCTTCAGTGTGTGCACCCGGCAACTGGATGCCCACTGTGTATGCGCAAGTAGCCATTTGGGACCTGTCACGTATCCCAGTAGACTATGGGGGGGGGAGAGGGAGGGGGGGGGGGACAGCTTCCACTTCTGATTGCCTAGGCGATCACAGCGGAAGTGGGAGCGGGTACCTGTCAAATTCAGGTACCCGCTCCCAAATGATGCCAATCCTTAATGGTGAGTGGGGGGGGGGGGGGGGGGGCGTCTTTAAAGCAGAACTTCCCCTTTTGGGTGAAAATTTGCTTTAATGTTTTTACAGACAAAAATAAAAACCTGAGAATTTTAAAGCCTCACTTCAGGATTTAGCAAGCTTTAAATAGTTTGTTTGGACCAAGCTGGTCCCAATGAACTAGTTATTTCATTAACAAATGAAACGGCTGTGTGCTTTGTATACAGTGTATATGACATCAGCTATGTACCGTATACAGCGCTGTGTTCTGGCAGTGGGATGGGAACTTCCCGTTCCGCTCCTGATACAAAATTGAGTCTTTTATACAAGTCTTCTTCTGCTTGTCTGAGCTGGATAATGTCAAGATCTCCCTTTCAGTCATTCAGAGGTAGTCTTGTATTCATTTATAAAACATAAAGTCCCCTTTGAATGGTTGAGCAATGCTCAGCCCGAGTCGAATTTGTTCTGACAGCGGTACAGGAAGTTCCCATCCCATTGCAGGAATACAGCTGTGTATACTGTATGTAGCTGAGGCTCCATATAGTTTATACATTGCTCCCAGCTGTTTCATGTGTTAGTGAAGTAAATAGTTTGTTTGGACCACCTTGATCCAAACAAACTATTTACAGATTACTAAAATCTGGAGTTAGGGCCCCTTCACACCAGAATGTAGTGTATGATTCCAGTGTGAACTGGCCCTTAAAGTGACACTAAAGCTTCATTTTTTCCTAAAATAACAAACATGATATACTTACCTGCTCTGTGCAGTGATTTTGCACAGAGCAGTCCTGATCCTCTTCTTTTTGGGTCCCTGCCACTGCTCCTGGCTCCTCCCCCTCAAGCACTGCCCCCAGGGAAAGCCGCATGCCCTGGGGGCACTGCTGCATGCACGTCCCAAAGCTGCTGCTCTATGCGTCCATAAGGCACATAGAGCCACGGCTTGAACCCCCCCCCCGCTTATTATCTCACTGCCTGTGATTGCCAGCAGTCATTGAGCTCCCGTTGATGTCTCAGCCAATGAGGAAGAGTCCCCAGACAGCAGAGGCTATTGAGAATGTCACTGGATCGCAGGGGTACAGGTAAGGATTGGGGGGCCGCTGCACACAGAAGGTTTTTACTTTTATGCATGGAATACATGAAGGTAAAAAACCTTGAGCCTTTAGAGCCACTTTAAGCTTTGCGGTAGAACTAAAGGCAAAACTTTGTTTTTCATTGTGGAGAGAGTAAGAGGGGGGGTTATAACTCCTGTCAGGTTTTTTTTTTTAATCTTTTTTATCTTTGTCCCATTGGGGAGATTCTCTTTCACTTCCTGTCCCATAGCTAAAACAGGAAGTGAGAGGAAATCCCTCCAAAGTGAGGGAATCCCTTATTGTCACCAGAACTAATGTCCCCGTAGGAAGCATTCCTATCTGCTCATTTTCTCGTGACAAACCAAAATTTGTGATTTTCTTTTACTTTCACTCTCAGTGATAACGGTACACAGCACAAATAGAGAGGGTGAAACTTCCTAAGGCCTTGTATACACTTGCAGTTGGGAGTAGTATAAGCACAAGGTTGAGTTGTGTTTTTAACTGACTGCTTCCCCTAAGGCTCCATGTACACGGGACACTTCTAAACGATGGAAACTGACCGCTGGAAAACGTAGGTTAAAAAACGTCTGTTTAGCTGCGTTTGCATACCGCGTTTATGCTCCTTTATGAGCGTTTCCGTTTAGAAGCATTTTTTAAAGATAACCTCAGTAGACCTTCCAAAATGCCCAGAATGCACTGAAAAACAGTAAAAATGTAACTATTTTAGATATTTTGAGAGAAATAGAGAGAGCAGAAGCAGATAGAGCAGTATTTGTTGAGATTAGCTGTCTTTTTTTTTTTTATTTTGTGGTGTTTGGATGTTTTCCAGCTCATTTCTGTGCAGAAATTATTGCAGCAGTCTCTATCATATTTTCTTTCATGTGAAACCTCAAAATATGGTGTACCAGGTCCATTTGAGTACCGGGAAAATGCTTTGCATGCATTTTTCATGATGAAAAAAAGGCTCTGGACAGCATCTGGAAATGGAAGAGTTAAAAAAATGTTGGCGTTTGAAACGATGATAAAATCTACTCCTGAAAGCAAGTTCGGTGCATTCAAAAAAATGACTGTAAACCAAACTGCCTGTAAACGACTGTAAACGATGACGTGTACATGGATACATAGGAAAAAACATTAGGGAGAGTTCAGGGGCTGCTGAAAAAAATGCAGAAAAGCTCCTAAACGTGACTTTATCAACTGCAGTGTACATGGAGCCTAACTCACAGGTGTCAAACACAAGGCCCGTGGGCCGAATCTAGCCCTCCAGGCCATTTCATGTGGCCCTTACACCTCTCCTGCAGGTACCCCCTTGTCTTAGCAGTTGGCAGCAGAGAGGAGAAGAGAGCTCCTCTGCCAAATCCTGCACCTCTCAGTGCAGCTGCAGAATCCCCTCATCTCTGCCTCCCCTGGTCTCAGCATTCAGCAGACTCTAGTAACTGGCTCCACTCCTCCTCTGGTCCTCCTCCAGACCCTGCACTTTCTGCTTTCCAGCTCTGCCCCCAAAAGGGGTGCATGGTGATTTTAGGGAGGGTGTAGGAGTCTTGACATCTGATGTATTGGGGGGTGGGGTGCTCTGGACATCTAGTCTTACAGATACAACCTGCCTTTTGAAGGCAACCATAATGCCATAATGCTGGTACACCCCACGATGAAATGGAGTTTGACATCCCTGCTCTCACTGCTTCCCCTTGAGCTGCAAAGACAGCAGACTGGGATGTACCCATGCCGTGGAAAAAATATCCCCTCACCTGTCGCTAGGGTTGCCAGCTCATCCCTCTAAAACCGACCACATATTGATGACACAGGTTCTGAGGCTGATCTATTGCAGATAAGGCTCTAAGTGAGTTTAATTAACATTTCAATCAGCCCCAGAACCTGTGTCATCAATATGTGGTCGGTTTTAGAGGGATGAGCTGGCAACCCTACCCGTCGCAGTACCACGGAACACGACCCATTCATCTGAATAAGAACGTGCAGCAACCACTACAATGTGGGTTTTTAGGGGTTAAAAACAAGCAGTGAGGAGGGGGCAGCATAACACCACCTCAGTTCACAGAGGATCGCTTTTCAGAGGGTCGGCTTTCCAAAGAATGTTCTTTGGTGTTCTAATCTTCCTCCACTCTATCCAAAATTAAAAAAGATTTCCCTTCAGATATACTTTAAATTTCCCTCTGTCCATCCGAATATAAAGAAAAAAATGTTACTTTTCTACACCCAAAATCCCAGCTCTTCATAGTTTCTACTTAGATGGGGACCTTAATATTTTTTATAAATCACAATGCAACAAACAAAATGTAAACACAGTGTTTACACCTGAATTTCTCAGAGTTCTGCTGGAACAGCAGAGCATTCAATAAATGGCACATTCATTTTTTCCCCACAAGCAACATGGACGTCCCTCACAACTGTTACTTACCGGAAGTGACGTTCTTCTGACGACTATAAACAGAAGGTCTATGGTGAATGTGCTTGTTTCTTGAAGGTTGCCATGCGGCTTAAGTCTCGGTAAGTGAAGTCTGCCGGCTGTGTGTCCCAGTCTTCTGTAATAGTCGGTGCACTGACTGTACTGTCTGCAGGTACTTCCTGTGTGAGCTGGTGTTGGAGGACCCCCGGAGGAGGCAGAATCTCTCGCAGGGGACTGTGCTGCACCATGTGAAGGAGGCAGTGGCTCGCCTGCATGGGGACTTCGGGGCTGCGGCTGTGTCTATAGCCCTCTCAGGTGAGTACTCCTACCAATGCGTTGGGTGGCATTAACAGAGGTCACATCTATGGTTCTATGTACTGCCAGTCTGTAGAATGGAAGGTGTAGAATACATACATTATATAGTCCATAGCTCCCAACAGGTCCTGAGGGATTGTCCCTAATTTGGAACAAAGTCCATCTTTGCTCATTTTGGTCTGATCTATATAGTTGTATAAAAATGCACTGATTGTGCATTGATGAGTGTCACTGCTGAGCAGCACTGCTGGGTGTCACTGCTGGGTACAGGAGAGTGGCACTGCTGGGCACTGATCATCAGTGCCGATCACTTCTCTGACAATTGCTGGTTATCAGCAGTACTTTCCTTACGCTGTCACAGTGTGAAGAAAGTGCAGCCGATAACCGGCAACTGTATTTACCTGGTAATCTGCTGTGTCATTGGAAACAGCTGATCACGTGGTAAAAGGTCGCTGTGATTGGCCGTTCACCGTATCACGTGATCAGCGATCGGCGCCGAGTGTGCGCAGGGGGTGTGTTCTGGGATGCTGTCCAGGGGCCTTTGAGAATAAAATGGTGGTTGTTGCAATTTATGTCACATGGTATTTGTGCTACAGTTTTTCAAATGCAATTTTATTTGGAAAAATACTTACTTTTTTTTTTTTATGCACAAAAATGCAGTATGATACCCAATTGTTTTGTAAGGTTTAAAAAGATGATGTTACACCAAGTAAATAGATGCCAAACATGTCATGCTTTAAATTGTGGTCGCCCGTGCAATGGTGACAATCATAAGTTTTTGGGGTTTTTTTTTTTTTTCCATAGGTGATGCTCCATAAGCTTTGCCACTTTAGATATACTCAGGAGGTCTCGTGCTAGAATTACTGCCCTTATCTGACATTCGCAGTGATGCATTACATATGTGGGATGATGCTGTTTGTGTGCGTTCAGGACTGATGAGTGCTTTTGGTTTTGCGCACAAGGATGGGCTGTTTTTTTTTATTTACTTTTACACTCCTTGCTTTAAGGGTGTTTTTTTTTTTTTTTTTTTTTTTTTTTAATCACTTTTATTGTTACCACAGGGAATTTAAATATCCCCTGTGATAGCAATAGGCAGTGATCTGGGGTCTATTAGGTGGAACAGGAGAGCCTGATAAAGGGGGGACACGTCTCTCCCACTGCTTGTAAAAGCATTCCAGTGGCTAATTAGCTCTAAAAAAAACAATACTGCGATGGTGTATGCGGCTGCAGGCTTCATCCCGGTAAAACCACTTGAAGTCCAGTGATGCACAGGTACAGCTCTGGTCTTTCAGAAGTTGACACAATTCTCTGAATCTTAAAGAGAATAAGCTTAAATCTTATTTGCAATAGATTTAAAAAGAAAACAAAAAACCATCCCCATGCCCCATTTGCTCATCAGGGGCTGGGGCAGAAAGGGGACCATGCTATGAGCTCTGCATTTCATGGCAATTTAAAGTCCTGGCCTGCCTTGGTTCATATAGTAGAGGCTAGGACTGCAGTTGAGTTATTGAAAACTTCTTTGCAGGAGAGATTATTCTGCCTGCACCCAAAAATCATTGAATAGTCCCCTTGTTCAGCAGGGGCCCTGAAAGTCATTGAATAGTTCCCATGGGTGTCCAGACATTGGGAGTCTCCTCTTTGCCTTTGGGCCCCACTGGCTGAATTGACCAGGCCTAGTACTGGAGGGCCGATGTTACCCCTTTGTTGACAGCCCTGCATGGGAGTCTGTTAGTAATGTCACTGCCCCCTGAATTCACAGCCGCTGTTGAGCGCTCCCTCCTCTCACCTGCAGCCTCTGCTCATTGACACAGAAGATCACATGATCGGACCAGAGTGGACTAAAAAAAGGTAAGTATATAGATCTTTTATACACAGGTTTTTGTTGAAATGAATGGTCTAGTGACAAGGTCTATTTAACCACTCAACTACCACTTTTCATTAACAAACTGCGAAGTGGTAAGTGCCTTTTTTTTTTTTTTTTTTTTTTTTTTTTTTTTTTTTTTACTGCAGAGCACTGAAAAAAATCTCCTTTGAGTGGCAAACGCACCTGTTGATGGCTGTGAACCAAGCCATCATTGGATGGCCTTGTTCAGACACAGAGCTGATCCAAGCCGCTCTGTACCATGTGATGACCAGTCGCATTAATCAAAAAAAGCAGTGTAGTATTACATTGCAGAGCCTGCCCCTTCCTCTTACATTTAATGAATGGTTGATAAATGAGTTCCAGATCAGCGGAACATATGGTTGTAGGATGCCTCTTTAACTAGGGATGAGCCAAGGCATATTTGGATCCTAGTCCTAACCCACTTGAGTGATTCTGCTGGGAAACTGTCATTTGTCCTTGGCTCATCTTAAGTGGCTGAGGCATTCCCCTGTCCTGCAGCTGCATGTGTACCTGCCTGAGCAGATCCCTATTTTTAACCCTTTCACCCCCCTAAAGGGTTGCACGTAATCGTCAGTCAGGCTATCAAAGCGCTGAAAACTGTAAAATGGTCTGGTAATGATGGGGCACTACAGGCTAGTACTGAAGTGATTATAGTTGCTTTGGTAAACATTTAGACTTTATGATAAAAGTACATAAATACTAATATAGTATGTTAAACTGTTATCTCATTTGATTTTATGTTGTAGTGAAATACCTTAATGCATACACTGGCATAATCCTCCTTCGATGCCGGAAAGATTACCACCAGTTCCTATGGTCATCCCTCCCTTTTATAACCAGCTTAGAGAACAGAGGTCAACGGTATCCATGTTTTATAAACACATTACATGTTGGAGGTAAGAAAACTGTCTATTTGGTGCTTATTCACAAAGATATGTCTAAACGTGTAATAACCTGTGTGAGTTTCAGATGCAAGTTGTCAATTCTGTATTTGTGGGCAGAGTGTTTGGGGTATACAGTTTCAGGGCATCATGTTACTGATCATTGGCAAATGTGCAATGCAGGAATTGCTTTGACTTTGCCTTATTACTGACCCAGTGGGAGACACATTCTGTGATTTGTGTTCCTAAGGATTATATTTAAAGCGGAGTTCCACCCCAAAGGGGAAGTTCTGCTTTAAAGACTGGTCCCCCTCTCCCCATTAAGGATTGGCACCTTTGGGGATCGGGGAGGAAGGGGGGGGGGGAAGCAGGTACCCGAAATTGACAGATACCCGCTCCCACTTCTGCTGCAATCGCCTAGGCGATCGGAAGTGGAAGTTGTCGTACTACCGACCCTCCCCGTAGTCTTCTGGGACACGTGACAGGTCCCAGAAGACTACAGGGCCATTCGGAAAGTGCAACGCTACTCGTGCATGCGCAGTGGGCACCTGACCGCAAGCTGTCACAGCCAGGTGCCCACACTGAAGATGCCGGCGCTTGGAACACAGGACAGCTGGTGAAACAGGCTGCGGGGGAGGACATTGTGGGACAGGTGAGTGGCTGGTTTTTTTTTTTTAAAAAAGTCAGCAGCTACAGTTTTTGTAGCTGCTTCCTTTTTTTTTTTTTTTTTTTTTTTTTTTTAAAGTGTGAGTTGAACTCCTCCTTTTTAATAGCACAATATGTAGGGTTTTTATCAATTTACAAAATGGAAAGTAAATGAACAGATGGGAATTCCAAATCAAATCATTATTTAATGTGACCACCCTTTGCCTTCAAAACCGCATCAATTCTTCTAGGTACACTTGAACACCGTTTTTGAAGGACCTCAGCAGGTAGGTATTCCAAATATCTCATTATTGTACCACTCTCCAGGCCTTTGTGAACAAACTACCTCCTGGTACAGCCAAATATTTCAAATTTTGGCTCCTGAGTCCAGAACACCTGCTTGCCATTTTTCTGCATGCCATTTCCTTTTTTTTTCTCATTCATATTTGGCTGTAGCAGGAGGCAGTTTGTTCACCAAAGGGCTGGAGAGCAGTACAATGAGTGTCTGCAGCAAACATGAAGCATGGAGGAGGTTCCTTGCAAATTTGGGGGCTGCACTTCTGCAAATTACGTTGGAGATTAGGTCAGATTCAATGGTGTCCTCAGTACTGAGAGATACAAGCAAATACTTACAGTATGCATCATTCCATACCATCAGGGAGGCATGTGATTGGCCCCAAATGTATTCTGCAGCAGGACAATGACCTGAAACATGCAGCCAATATCATTACGAACTTTAATGTAAAGAAACAATGAGTCCAACTAAAGTTATAGTGTGGCCCCCACTGAGCCATGACCTCCAACATCGAGTGTCTAGGATTTCATGAAGAGACAGAAGGCTCTCTGAGGCAGCCTACATCTGTGGTTAGTTCTCAAAGAGGTTTGGAATAACCTACCTGACTGACTAATTCCTTCAAAAACTGTGTGCTAGAAAAATTGATGTTGTTTTGAAGGCAAAGGGTGGTCACACCAAATATTTATTTGATGTGGATTTCTCTTCTGTTCATTTCATCCGTTTTGTTAATTTAGAAAAATAAATGATTAACACTTCCATTTCTGAACGCACTATTGACACTTCTTTTACTGAAAGCATTCTCACTTTACAACATTTTTTCATTTCTGCCTAAAACTTTTGCACAATAGTGTCTGTCTCTCTGACCTATCAATCTAATCCTAGTCTAAAAATTAAAAAATGACACTCTGCCAAAAATGAATCAGTCGTTTACGGGTTGCTGCTGCTGTTAATATTTCACATAGTATAGAGGTATATGGCATCAAACCTTTTAAGTGATAGAGCTGTGCTTACCCTAGAATCACTGTGATAAAAAAAATTAATAAATATATACACAAATTAAATAAATATATCCAAAAGATTCCAACATGAATCTTTCAAATATAAACAATTATCAGTTATGTGTAATCATCAGCAAAAGTGAATGAATAGTCCAGATAAATGTGCAAATGTCAAAACAAAGTGCCTGTGTGCTCTGATTACACAAGTGAAAATGCCTTTAAATGAAGGAGCTATTGTACATATTGGAATTCTCCACTGTTTGTGCCCCCACCAGGGTTTTCACTTACCCAGCGGAGTTGACCCCCCTCCCTCCCCCCCAAGATAATACACCAAGGTGGGTCACGCATGCTTTATACTGCTGTTTCTCATGATGATGTCACCATCCAGGGATTCTCATTTTGCACACCACGGGGAACTCGGGAAAAAGAAACCATGGGAATCTTTATAGCGTATCACCAGTTTTTATTAAAATCTTAACACTAAAAAGGATCAACTCAGAAATATTGTGCCACCTTCCGGCACTTGGAATGATCTGCCAATGTAGAAAAAAGGGTAACGCCGCCGCTTGGACTATTCCAGAGCCGGAGTGCGATCCAAGCAGTGGAAGTGGCGTGGCAACCGATAGTCTTTACCCCTATGCATTTTGTCACATTCGGGGCATCATGAGGAGGCATGGCCAGCACTGTCTCCTCCTCCATTTTATGCATTTCAATTGCCCACAGTTTGATAATCGAAATGAACTGGGACAAAAGCACATAACTAATATAATATACTCAGGGGTGGACTGACAACTCATGGGGCCCCCGGGCAATAGGGGATCATGGGGCCCCCGTGTCCTTGCCCAAACTCAAAAAAGCCTATGAAAAAGGTAGCAGGGGCATTTCATGGGGCCCCCTATTGACCCCGGGCCCTCGGGCAGTGCCCGAGTTTCCAAATGGTCAGTCCACCCCTGAATATACTGAATCCCATCAGCAGATAATTCTTACAACTTTTAACATCAAACCAACAGCAATAACCCATTTTGTGAAACCTAGTATGTAGTGGTGGTAAATGTAAATCTTGCCATCTTGTGGTTAAAAACTGGAATGCATATGCCAATAGACAGTAAAAACCCATATCAATTTAGTAATTTTGCCCAGGGAGAGAATTTATTAAACTAAAAAGGGGATTCAATTATATTAATTTGAATTATAAGAAATAAAATCCATATATAAAAAGGAATCGGAAGTATATTTAGTAATCCATAATAAAGCAGTTCAAATCAATGTTTAACCCATGGCAGGTTAGGGTACGTAATTAAAAATTCCAGCAAGTTTAATTTAGTGAGATTTATTTATTTTATGTTGAAACCCCTCCATTGTTTGCTTTTTATCTATTCCAAAAAAGGTAAGCTGGGTAGGATCCCTTTTGTGGAACATCAGTGCCTAGACGCACTATGCTTGGGGTAGCCTTTGTGAATAATATTCACATGTCCCTTGATCCTACCCACGTGTTGGAGCCCACAAAGGCATACAAGCACATCCCAAGATTATCACAGGACACAAACTTGGTAATTTTTTTTACGGTCTTCTTGTGGAATTTGATTCAAATTCCAACTTTTTTTTTTTTTTTTTCTTTACCCTACTTGTCCTTTCAAGGTAGGCACCATTTGTACTTTTAAAAACCTACCTTGTCCAAGAACGTACTCACCTTTTGGGGGTCAGGGATATTTCTTAACTATCCTAGTTCTCAAACCAGGTGCCCTTCTATAGATAAATTTAGGTTGTTGGGGTAATATTTGTTCTAACATGGCATCCTTCATCAAAATAGGCTGATGTTTCCTGAATATTTTATCAATTTGCCTATTAAAACCTGTCACAAATGTAATTTTTATTACAGCGTTTCTAGGGTAAGCACAGCTCTATCACTCAATATTTCACATAATTCTAAACCTAATCTATGTTGCTTAGTTAAGGTAGAACTCTAGACAGAACTTCATATTTATAGATGGGGAAAGTGTAAGGCCCCACTTGCGAGTAAGACCATCAGCAATCACATGTGGGAACCCCAGCAGCAGGAAGAAACCCCACTAACTGTGGGAGTTGTCGGCCTCCCGTTGCTTTCAATCGTGGCCACTTGCACATAATCGCCCAAGCAGCGACTTACCTGTGAGTAATCGTCCCTGGACACAGACTATTGGTTTCTGCACTCATTTGCGACTTCAATAAAGTGTCATTTTTTTCATCTGAAGTTTGTGCGCTTTCTCTTCCATTTTGAAGCTGTGAAAGCTATGCTCATTAAGGAGGTATTAAATGTGGGGTCCCTATGGAAGATTTTTCCTTCCTGCCTGACTGCCTATTGAATGCTTGGCCTGTCAGAGGATTATTGCGTTTCATAGGGATAAATTACTGTCTCGCACTGGACTGACTGAGGCAATGTGAAGTGGCATTGGCCTAACTCTTAGCAGTTAAAGTGTGTGTGTTTGCATTATTTGACAAAAGTACAGTCACATCTTGTGACCAGAGAGACTTGAACCTTGAATTTTGTCTTGAATTTCTCCCAAATCATCCCATTCTTCTTTTAAAAGTGGTCTAAACATTAGACATGACATAAACAAAGCATATCCCTCTTTAGTGTGTAATTGTGCATGCTCGATTAAGAGTACTAAGTGCCATTTCTAACTGCTGCCTTGTTCCTCTGCTATCAGCATGAATCACTTCTGACAAGTTTTTCTGACACAATGAGAAAAGTGACTAGGGAGGGACCTCCAGCACATAGCCTGTGATTGTTGCCTCAGCTTTGTGTACTGTGCAAATGTGTTCTTTCCCTCCAAGCAGCTCTCAGAGCTCTCCTCACTAAGCTGTACAGTGTATAACTTCAACACTCTGCCCCATTTTTTTTTTTTTTTTTCGAAAGCTCAGACAAGCTTTATAAATTCTGGAGTTTTAACAGATGTAGAGAAAACTGCAGATAAACAGGTATATGACGTATGTAGGAGGATTTTTTTTTTCATCTGTGTATCACCTTGGGCCAGTCCTTTCACTGCATATATGTAGGAGTTTACAACCACTTTTAAAGGGTCTGCTTTTAAAAGCTTGCCTTTTGATGGCATATTCCCTCTGGGAGCTGGTCATCTTAGCCTGCTTTTTATGTGCTAACAATGTAGAAGAGTGTGTAGTTTGTGTTTTTTTTTTTTTTTTTTTTTTTTAGTTAGCTTTGTTCCAGCATCACCATGACCCTCTCCATTGTTCAATGCCCTGCTGCCTATAAACTCTGAAAGCTGATGGTGATGAG